AATTAAAACCAAGTATCACTTGCTGCTCTTGCAGAGAACCAGAGTTGAGCTTCCAGCCCCCCATCAGCTTAGGAATACCTGTAGCTCCAGCACTCTTCTGGCCTCCATGAACACCCATACACACATGGCATACACTCAACACAGGTACATACACAGAAACGAAAAATAAATCTAAAAAAGTTTATATTGCTGGGGATGGGGACAGGGAAGAGTAAAGTATGGAATAAGTTAAACCAAACGAAGAATTTATGAAAAACTTTATGGAGGATTGCTATTTTATAAACTAATTAAAACATGATTTTAGCCAAGCAATGGTAGTGTACACCTTTAAACCCAGTACTTACAAGAAAGAGGCAGGCGGATCTCTGAGTTGGAGGCCAGCCTGGTCTACAGAGTGAGTTCTGGGACAGCCAGGACACAGAGAAACCCTGTCTCAAAAGACAAAATCTGCATGAGTGGAAAATGCTTTCTCCAAAAGACAGGTTATTAAGTGAAGATTCAGTGCCAGGTGTGGGATAACTTCCCTATCAGCTGTTTGGGGCACTTTATAAATCGCCCCCAAAGAACACAGACTATTCCTATCAGGGCCACTGTAATTGGATAGCAAGGAACTATTGCTGAAGACATAACAGACTTTGGTTACAGGACATAGACAAATCAAGCCTGGATCCAAGAAATATTCCTGGCTGACCTGGAACTTGCTTTGTAGACCAGGCCCGCCTCGAATTTACAGAGATCCCTGTCCCTGCCTCCCATGTGCTGGGATTAAAGGCATGGGCCACCACTACCCAGCCACCTGCTTTCTAAAGAAACGGTGTGGATGGGAGGTGGGGAGGACTTGGGAGGAGTTAAAACTGTAATCAGATATATTGTTTAAAAGATCTATTTGCAATTTTAAAAAAGGATGAGAGAGGAGAGAAGGGAAGATGGGGGGATAGGAAAGGAAGGAGAGGAGAAGGGAAGGGAAAAGATTAACAAAATTCTTATTGATTATATACCTCATAGTTCCGCCAGATGGAAGGGTGCCAACTGTTCAAAGGGACTTGATGAAATTCTTATTAAGAAAGAGATAAGGATTTTTACTTGGGCTCTTGACAAGTAGAAACTGCATCACAAGGGTTTGCTTTTCATAAAGGGAGTCTTAACAAATTAGTGAGGAAAGATGAATTTTCAATACAAATGTAGTAAGGGCCTGGAGAGGTGGCTCGCTGGTTAAGAGCACCTAGCAGCTCTTCAAAGGCCCTGGGGTTGGATTCGAGGTGCTTGCATGGTGCCTCACAACTGTCTGTAACTCCAGTTCCAGAAGATCCAACCTATTGTGGCCTCCAGCGGCAGCATATACACGCAGGCAAAACACCTCTGCACATGAATAAATAAAAATTTTAAAAATAAAAGCTTAGAAAGCAATTTACTAAGGAAATAAAAAAATCATTCAGTGTAAAGATTAAACCTTAAAAATCCAAGTTGGGCGATGATGGTGCACGCCTTTAATCCCAGTACTCGGAAGGCAGAGGCAGGTGGATTCGAGGCCAGTCTGGTCTACAGAGCGAGTTTCAGGACAGGCTCCAAGCTACAGAAAAACCTTACCTGGAGTCGAGGGGTGGGGATGGGGTTTCATCTCTTAGAATGTTTTGATTTTCTAAGTTGGTCAATGTTAAGTCAGTACATTTTGATCTGGTGATTTCCATGCTAAAAAGAAATGAGTCATTGAAAACTCTCAGTTACTCTTCTAATCCTGTGACAAAGCACCATGGCCTGGGAAACATAAAAATCATTTACTGGGGCTTATGGTTCTAGAGCCAGTCTACGATCACCATGGCCAGGCTCATAGGAGCAGGCGGGCGCTAAGAGCAGTAGCTAAGAGGCAGAGAGAGCTGGCTGGGAATTGAGCAGGCTTCTGAAACTTTCAACTCGCCCCAAGTAACACACCTCTTCACAAGGGCACATCCCCTAATCCAAACAGCGCAAGCAGCTGAGGACCATGTATGCATATTCAAACACATGAGCGTATAGGGACTATTCTTATTCAAACAACCCAAAAGATTCACACAAAGATGATGATGATTATGTGTGTGTTCTTTTGCTTTAATTTTATTAGAACATTTTTTTTATGTGTACGAGTGTTTTATCTGCATGTCTATCTGTGCACGACCTTCATGTCTGGGAGCCTATGGAGTTCAGAAGATAGGTTCCACATTTGTGGAACATCTTCAGTTATTAAAATTTGTACAAAAGAATATTTGACAAGTTAGAACAGAAAGTTTTCAACCTTCCTAGGTTCCTCATGTTACCCTAGCCATAAAATTATTTTTGTTGCTACTTCATAACTGTAATTTTGCTACTGTTATGAATTGTAAATATTTTTGGAGATAAAGGTTTGACAAAGGGGTTCAGAAGCACTGACTTACAATGTATTTGTATTTGTATTGTGCTACTTTGAAAAGCAAATGGACAAGGTGATTCAGCTTTGATTTATTTCCATTTTCTGTAATTCATATGGACTTTGCAATTAGGAAAAAAATTATAAGAAGTGCCTTAACTATAGTCATTAATTATATTGATGCCTTGTTGGGTATCATTTCCTATAACTTCCTTCACAAAGAGCAATTGTTTATGAAAGAACACACAACAGACCCTGTATGTTGGAGGGAGGCTCCGTGTTGACTGTACTCTCGATTTTTTTCTAATAATTAAAAGTAGATTGTAAAAGCAACAGTTTGGAAAGCTAGGATAAAGTATACTGACCCCAAAATTATTCTCTTCGTGCAGAGAAAAGTACTTAATTTTTGCAGAAAGTTTAAAAAAAAAAATAAAAAAGCCTCCGTGCTAATAAAAACAAACACAAAATCCTATCAAAGTTAATGAAAATTTGCAATTCTCTATGCCTCCTCCCTGAATTTAGCTCTAAATACAGCAGTTAAAGCACCAGTGTTCAAATACTGAACGCCGAGTGCTGTGCCCCGAGAGCCTCCCAGGACTCTGGGGTGCAATTGAGTCGGGCCGGAAGCGACGGAGCAGCCGAGACCGAAACTGCTGAGCCTGCTTTTTTCCTCCTTTCGTCCTCAAAATCTTGGCGAATGAGACGGTGGAGAACAGAGAAGCTCTGTCTTCCAAACAGTTACATCCCGTGTAACACACGGACTTTTCCCTTCTTTTTCACGGGCAAAAGGGTTTTCCGTTTTCCGTCTACAGGTGGCCATCTTTTGTCACCGTTAACCAACAAACCTCAACGTTGCTACGTCAGAGGCGGTGCCACGGCGTTCTCTATATCAGGAAAAAATCTGCAACCGGCTGTCGTGTGTCAGGATGGCCGAGTGGTCTAAGGCGCCAGACTCAAGCTCAGCTTCCCTGGTTGGGGGTTCTGGTCTCCGTATGGAGGCGTGGGTTCGAATCCCACTTCTGACACAGGAATTTTTTTTTTTAACTCCTCACTCAGTTTCGGAAACTTTACTCGATACACCGTTTTGAGCTCATAATTAAGAAGTATCGAAACACTCGTCTTTAAAAGTTGACCTTGAAAACTTTCTAATGGGTCAGCCGACTTTGACGCTAGAAGCGGAAGCACGGCTATGGTTTTGAGCACTCGAGACTCTATCTGACTCAGGCTACTGCGGACCGAGCGAAAACCGAGCGGCGGGCGCGTCCCGGGGGTCCGGCCACCGGAGATCCCCTACCCCGCGGCGTTTGGCCACGCGCCTTGCCCGCAGCGAGTGTCCCAACCCTGAAGTCCTGCAGGCGCCACAGCGCCCCCTGCAGGAGTCGCGAGATAAATCATGGTTTCATCGCCTTGCCCGAACTACCCGCCTGTGCTAGTCGCTCAGGCTTGAGACAGGGCAGGCCTGCAGGCCCCTGTGCAATCAGCTACTTGGTTCCGTTTTCCCTACAAAAGCTTGCTCTTTCATTCCTTCCTTCTGTCTTGTCATCCCTCTTTCCTTTTTTCCTTCCTTTTCTCGATCTTTCTTTCCTTCTTTCTGTCTTCCTACCTCTCCCTTTCCCTTCCAGTCCTATTGACCCCGAAATCCTGCGTGCTCTGCATATTTTGCCTCCACAAAACTATTTTTTTTTCCCCAAGAAAACAAAGCAGATCGTGTAAAAGAAAGATTTTAAATTCCGGTCAGAATTTACTCTAGCGCACGTGGTCTCTATTCTAGGTCCTATCCTATATGTGTATTTATCCTGTTTTTCCTGCATGCTCATATTCCTAGACTAGGACCTGATTACCTTCTGAAAAAGCTTTCCCAAAGCTTGTGAGATGACTAGCCTCTCCCCAAACCCTTCGCTTTTAAAAGTAAAGTATTTGTGTGGTGGGGTGGAGGTGGTGCCTGTTTTTAAATCACTTTTCCTCAGAAACTTTTTCAAACGCTACAACAACCAAACATTGATGATAACATCAGGTAGGTAGCTTACAACAGGGCAGCGAATCTGATGACATTAGCCTTTGCCGGTGGATTTGGGTTACTAGCAGCTAGGGTTCTGTTTGTACATTCCAAAAAAGATTCAGTTATTATGAATATGGATGTTAGAACACACGCGTAAGAGGACAGTAGATGGGTGTTTAAAGTATAAAGATAGCCCACGATGATTGGGCTGTGGACCTGCAGCCTTCCAGATCTTCATGACTCCAGAAATTTAATCAATCAATCGATCTTGCAGAATTTTAATACAGGTGCCTTGTTTCTGTTCGCAACACAAAGTAAGACATCTACAAACGGTATTCATGACCCTGTTAGAAAAACACCAAGCCTCCTTCAGTCCGGAAAGCTGTCAAGGGAAGCGAACAAAGGCTAACTCTGGAGCCCTTAGGCAGTTTTTCTGGTCCAGGAAACGTAGGAAAATCACTAAGACCTCCAGCGTGCTAGAAGAGATCCGGGAGTGGCCTTGGTGTCTGACGTGTAACTCCACCCCAAATCGCTGTATCTGGTCAGGGGAAAGTTAATTTTTACTCCACCTTCCTGAGTTCAGTGACCTGAAAACTGGGAACTGTCATCTGGTTGGGCAGAGGAGGGTAAGGCGAGGTGGGTCTGGGCTCCGGACGCCGTGGCTTGGGCACTGAACACCTTTGTGGGTCAGAACTGCCGACTCTGCACAGGTAAACTCATCTCGACCCTGACTGGACTGACTACAGTTGGCCCCTGCTATTTCTCTGGGTCCTGGAAGAGAATGGGTCACAGCTAGGAGCTTTAAGCAACAGATTTTCCACTCCATTCTTTTTCCCCCGAGTTTCCTGGGAGACACAGTCTTTGGCTTTTCCATCTCAGTTTGTTGCATTGTTACACAGAAAATGTGCCACACGAGGTGACTGACACCTGGGAGCTTAGGGAGAATTCCTCTTGCCTTTTAGACCAGCCTGACTACGGAGTGAGACTTTGTGTTCCCCAATATTTGTGAAACCACTTACCTTCATTCCGGGGGACCGGGTTAATAGGAAAGTTGTTAGATAAACAGAGAGAGGTCGGGTTTTTTTGGTAGAGACAGACATAGAAGTGAAAATTCCCACCCAAGTGTGGTGATGTAAGAAAAAGCTGTTCATTCTTTGGAAACGGGGAAGACAAGAGTCTCCTTAGCAGTCCTCTAGCTGGGTAATGCTGCCTAAGGAAATGAGATGAGCATGTTAAAGGGACCCGAGAGCTTGTCTACAGTCATTTAAGCACCAGGCAATGAGCAGATGGAGAGAATGTGATACATTGACCCCATGAAAGAGAGTTCAGTCATGAAAAGACTTCGGTCTTGTCATTTGCAACAATAAGGATAGGATAAGCCCTCCTCCTTTTAATTCTTCTCCTCCTCATTCTCCTTTCCCCCTTCCTCCTTCTTTTCTTGCAGGGCTAGAAAAGAAAACCCAAGGCCTTGCAATGTAATCGACACGCTTGTCCCTAGTTAATACCATTATATTAAGCGAATAATGTAGATGCATATGTACCATATGATTTCACTCCATGATGAATATAAAATATCGAACTTCCGGCAATTGGCAGCAGAATAGAGGTAACTGAGTCTGGGAAGATACAAGGATGAGAAGAAGCACCCAGTTGGATTAGAGAGGACGGAGGTATTCTAGCGTTCTGTTGACTATAGGATGGCTGTGGATTGATGTGGGAGGTATTCTAGCGTTCTGTTGACTATAGGATGGCTGTGGATTGATGTGGGAGGTATTCTAGCATTCTGTTGACTATAGGATGGCTGTGGATTGATGTGGGATTCCCCTTTGTATGCTGTGAATATGATTGGTTAATTAATAAGGAAAACTGGCTTGGCCTGATAGGGCAAAAGAATAGAGGCAGGCAGGGAAAACTAAACTGAATGCTGGGAGAAAGAAGGGTGGAGTCGGAGAGAAGCCATGTAGTCCTGCCAGAGACAGATGCCAAAACTTTAGCCAGTAAGCCACAGCCATGTGGTGATACACAGATGAGTAGAAATGAGTTAAATTAATATGTAAGAGTTAGCCAATAAGAAGCTAGAGCTAATAGGCCAAGCAGTTGTTTAGTTAATACAGTTTTTTTTTTTTTTTTGTGATTATTTCAGTTTCTGGACAGCCGGGAAATAAACAAGGTGCCTACTTACTACGAATTGGCATGCTAACGTAGTGTGCTAAATCCATGTAAAACCTGAGAGGACTCCATAGCCGAACCTCCAGAAAGAGTCAGAGATATTTAATTAAAACAGTTTTTATGTGATTATTTCCATTTCTGGGCAGCCGGGAAACAAACAAGGGGGCGTCCTTACTACAACAGATGATGAATAAGGCATTTTGTACATTTTAAAATATCCAGAACAAAGAAGTTTGCATGTATTCACCAAAAATAAGTGACAAATGATAGAAGAGTTTGAATGTTTAAACTCATTTAAACATTACACAGTGTAAACCAGACAGATTGGCTCATGCATGTAGTCCCAGAACTTTGGAGGGCTGAGATGGGATTACTAGGTTAGGCTACAAAATGATACCCTATCTCAAAATAATAATAAACAATAATAAAAGTAGGAATGAATTTGGTGCATGTCTTTAATCTCCTCACTTGGAAGGCAGAGGCAGGCAGATTTTTATGATTGGTGAGTTCCGGGATATCCTGGGCTATCAAAGAACCAAACTTGGGCTCCACAGGCTCAGTGAACTACCCAAGCTCCTTCTCAGCCTTTTGCTCACCTCTTACAGAAGACTACAAACCTTTTAATTCTTCATTCCCCCATTGGTTTTATTGATGTAGTCACAAGAAAGAGATTCATTGAGAACCTGATTAATTTTATTTATATAAATAAAATATAATTGCATCTATTTTCCCTTTTCTTTCCTCCCTCCAACCCAACTCCTCCCATGTACTGTCCCCCATCCCTGAGCAAATTCGAGCCTTCTTTTTCTTTAATTGTTTTACACACACTTCTAAATGTTCTAGCTACTTCAAATTACTATCTAAATTACAAGCTGCTCAGTCCACATAAGGTTACTTTACCGCTTATTATTTCAGACTGACCACTTAACAATGGATAACCAGTAGGGGTCTCTTCTCTGAGGAAAACTATTTCTCCTGCCCTCAGCATCCCTTAGTTGATTGTAGGTCTTTTCCTAGCGTTGAGACCAGGTGAGTTTCTCCTTTCCATATTTGTATGTCTGGTGGTGTCTTGCTCGGTCTTGTCTAGGAAATCCTGGGATAGTTTTGCCTTCTTCTTGGCAAAGCACTTATCACATAGTCAACACCCCAAGTACACAGTTAAACAAGAGCTCCAGGGCATGACATGAGAGTTACAGGAAGAAAAATATTTTTCAAATCCCTAGGAGATGAGAGCAGAACAGTAAAACAAGAAAGTTTACTTAAAAACGCAACGACCACGAAGGGACTCGAACCCTCAATCTTCTGATCCGGAATCAGACGCCTTATCCATTAGGCCACGCGGCCAGGCGGTGGGGAGGGGTAATCACGTAACAGTCAAACTAAATTTGATGGAATAGGGGTGGGGTTTTTAAATAAAAATAACAGACTCAGTATGACAAAAAAGTTACTAATTTGGAATCAAAATTTACAGAGATTTCTAAAATGTAGATTTGGGGAGCTGGAAAGAAGCAGGTTGGTCAATGATTCCTCCGTGTGAACGCTACTGTTTCCTACGACCCTAGAACCATAGAGATGTCCAGCCAGAACTCAGAGGACCTTATTACGCAAATGAGGAAGGGAGGCGCACTGATGTTTAGAGGGTGGGAATCAGAAAGGATTCTCAGCCTGCAAGCTTTAAAGAAAGCTTGTGTGAAAGTAAAAAGTTGGCTTAAGACTGGGGAAAAAAATGATTACTAAATTTGCAAAGTCATTCTTCCAAAAGCAATATATAGATTCAATGCAATCCCCATCAAAATCCCATCAAAATTCTTCACAGATAGGGAGAAGACAATAATCAACTTTATATGGAAAAACAAAAAACCCAGGATAGCCAAAACAATCTTATACAATAAAGGAACGTCTGGAGGCATTACCATCCCTGACTTCAAACTCTATTACAGAGCTACAGTATTGAAAACAGCTTGGTATTGGCATAAAAACAGAGAAGTCGACCAATGGAATCGAATAGAAGACCCTGACTTTAACCCACAAACATATGAACACCTGATTTTCGATAAAGGAGCTAAAAGTATACAATGGAAAAAAGAGAGCATCTTCAACAAATTGTGCTGGCAAAACTGGATGTCAATCTGTAGAAGAATGAAAATAGACCCATATCTATCACCATGCACAAAACTCAAGTCCAAGTGGGTGAAAGACCTCAATATCAGTCCAAACACACTGAACCTGATTGAAGAGAAAGTGGGAAGTACTCTACAACACGTGGGCACAGGAGACCACTTCCTACGTATAACCCCAGCAGCACAGACAGTAAGGGCCTCATTGAATAAATGGGACCTCCTGAGACTGAGAAGCTTCTGTAAAGCAAAGGACACTGTCGCTAAGACAGAAAGGCAACCCACTGACTGGGAGAAGATCTTCACCAACCCCACAACTGACAAAGGTCTGATCTCCAAAATATATAAAGAACTCAAGAAACTAGACCGTAAAAGGCTAATCAACCCAATTATAAAATGGGGCACTGAGTTGAACAGAGATCTCTCAACAGAAGAAGTTCAAATGGCCAAAAGACACCTAAGGTCATGCTCAACTTCCTTAGCGATCAGGGAAATGCAAATCAAGACAACTTTAAGATACCATCTTACACCTGTCAGAATGGCAAAAATCAAAAACACCAATGATAGCCTTTGCTGGAGAGGTTGTGGAGAAAGGGGTACACTCATCCATTGCTGGTGGGAATGCAAACTTGTGCAACCACTCTGGAAAGCAGTGTGGAGGTTTCTCAGGAAATTTGGGATCAACCTACCCATGGACCCAGCAATACCACTCTTGGGAATATACCCAAGAGAGGCCTTATCACACAACAAAAGTATATGCTCTACTATGTTTATAGCAGCATTGTTTGTAATAGCCAGAACCTGGAAACAACCTAGATGCCCTTCAATTGAAGAATGGATGAAGAAAGTATGGAATATATACATATTAGAGTACTACTCAGCAGTAAAAAACAAGGACTTCTTGAAGTTTGCAGGCAAATGGATGGAAATAGAAAACACTATCCTGAGTGAGGTAAGCCAGACCCAAAAAGAGGAACATGGGATGTTCTCACTCATATTTGGTTTCTAGCCATAAATAAAGGACATTGAGCCTATAATTCGGGTTCTTAGAGAAGCTAAAGAAGAAGGAGAACCCAAAGAAAAACATATAGGCATCCTCCTGAATATTAACCTTCATCAGGCGATGAAAGGAGACAGAGACAGAGACCCACATTGGAGCACCGGACTGAAATCTCAAGGTCCAAATCAGGAGCAGAAGGAGAGCGAACATGAGCAAGGAACTCAGGACCGCGAGGGGTGCACCCACACACTGAGACAATGGAGATGCTCTATCGGGAACACACCAAGGCCATCTGACCTGGGTCTGAAAAAGCCTGGGTTAAAACAGGTCTCACTGAACATAGCGGACAATGAGGACTACTGAGACATCAAGAACAATGGCAATGGGTTTTTGATCCTATTGCATGTATTGGCTTTGTGGGAGCCTAGGCTGTTTGGATGCTCACCTTAGGAGACCTGGACGGAGGAGGGATTTCCTTGGACTGCCCACGGGAGGGAGAGCCCTGATTGCTCTTTGGGCTGACGAGGGAGGGGGACTTGACTGGGGGAGGTGGAGGGAAAGGGGAGGCGGAGGTGGGGAAGAGACAGAAATATTTAAGAAAGAAAGAAAGAAAGAAAGAAAGAAAGAAAGAAAGAAAGAAAGAAAGAAAGAAAGAAAGAAAGGAAGGAAGGAAGGAAGAAAGAAAAAAAAAAAGGGCACCAACAAAAAAAAATTTGCAAAGTCAGTTTAGGACGGATGGAAAGAATGGAATCACTGGGAGGTGGAGGGAGAGAACCAAGAGTTCGCGGTTTTTCTGGACCCTGTCCCCAAAGCAAAACGAAAAAGCAAGATGAAATACAAGAGCCTTCTACTTTTAGACTCCAACGATCTGAAGCCATCACCTCTTTAGCTGCTGTTGGAGTCTTGTGAATTCAGCACAGCGCTCAGTCATGAATTTATTTTGATTTGAGGGGCTTTTTTGACTTTTATTTTTCCTGGAGTATTTTAATGGACAATTGGTTGACTCCAGTGATATCCAACCCACAGACTAAAAGTCCCCTGTAACTAGAGATTGGCGTCTGTGCAGGACACATTGGAATTGTGCTGAGCGTGCTGTAAACACACAAAGGATGCCTGTTGGTAGACGCCCTCCTTTGTTTATTACTTTGTAACTAATTTCTCAATTTACTTAAAAAGACCAATGAAAGACAGAGTCTCAGACTAGGCTGTAGTCTCTGTCTCCTAATTGAGGGTACATGAATCATCATCATCATGAAGACATCTATTACTTTGGGGTGTTTACTTTCATTTGTTCTGTTTATATTTGGTAGAACACATAAGCACACAGCTAACTATTCTGTGGTTAGATCTTGAGTTTAGCTGGTGTGTGGGATAGTTTATGTCTGCCTGACAAATGCTAGAGTCATCTGAGAAGAGGGTGCCTCAATTAAGAAAATGCTTTCATAAGTTCAGCTTGTAGGCCAGTCTGTAGGGCATTTATTTTCTTAGTAATGATGGGGGAGGGCTAAGCCCTGGGCTGGTGACACTCCTGGGCTGCTGGTCTTCAGTCTTAAGGAAGCAGGCTGAGCAAACCAGGAAGAACAAGCCCCTAAGCAGCATTCTCCATGGCCTCTGCATCAGCTCCTGCCTCCAGGTTCCTGTGTTGTTTGAGTCCCTGTCCCCGACTTCCTTTAGTGATGGACCACAAAGTGGAAGGGTAAGCCAAATAAACCCTTTCCTCCCCAAGGTGCTTTGGCCATGGTGTTTTATCACGACAATAGTAACCCTAAGACAGTTGGAATTATTTCCTTGTGGATCTCTCTTCCGGCCGCTCTTGGAAAAATAAAGCAAGAGTCACGAAGCTTGGTGAGCAAGAACCACAGTGTTGGCTACTCGTCCGAGTACCAGGGCCCTCTCTGCCCTTCCCCTGCTGTCCTGACCTTCACACACTGACCGGGTTCATCTAAAACGTCTTTTCCCTCGAGCTCTTCCACACACTCCCCGTTCCCGCATTGCCATGACGCCCCAAATCGGGAGCTTAAATTTGGTTGCAAATTTTCTTTTTCTACTCAAGCTTCCGTGTTTTCTTTTCTCAATAATTTTCCAAGTTAATTTCTTCAAACACCGGAGGTTGGGATCGACAAAGAGCTCACAGGAAACGGCAAATGCAGGGAGGAGCTTTCTCTGAATTTTCCTTATCTATGTAAAACCTAACCTTCCAAAAGTTTTTAAAACAGTGAAGAGTTTCCCTGAACCTCTTCTAGAAT